TAAAGGGGTAGATGCCACATGTGTAACGGCTTCTTTCAATAGCAACAATAAATAATAATAATAATAATAATAATAATAATAACAATAAAAATAATAAATGTTCTTTTACGGCGCACTTAATAGCTTGTGCATCTCAAAGCATTAAAATTCCATTTCTATAATATTCTTTGACTGCCATGGAAGATAGTATAAATACATGTATGACACATCCTAGAGCAAAAATACCTGAACCTTTTAATCTAATTTAGAAATAAAACTGTTCACACAAAAAACTAAAGATGTAGTTCTTCGATATTTATCGTTAAGATTATTCTCTGCGCTTAATTGCATTAGCTGTCTTTTGAAAATATTCCATTTATACAACGCAATTCGTGCTTCAACGCTGTTGTTTGGTGAAGGCATACCTTTTGTATTAACAGAAAGCCACACTTTGCTAAATTTGTTTTTATGCTTAAAATAAGAGCTGTTTTGTTGGGCTACTTTTTGACTTACTTTTGTGAAAAAAAATCATAAATGATCCTTCAGCGAATGGGAATTTTAAGTTCTTTGGGTAGTTATTGCAAAAGTGCATGTAATCCATCTAGATGGAGTATTTCGTGGCATTATGATTGCATTCGTGAAGTTCAAGCAACTAAGAACCTCTTTAAAATAATGCATGCATGTATAATATCAAGAATGAAAGCATATTTTAAGAGAACCTAGCTACTGAAAATTGATCGTTAGGATTGTGTCTGTATTGAGTAAAATAGGAATGAAAACAATTTCGAAAAATATCTAGCTACGAAATTGTGATTCGGGTTAACTTAATGCCATTAAAAGTTTATATTGTGTTTGTTGTGCTTACGAGCTAAGCAAAATTTGAATTCAAAGTCAACCACAACTCTTCATTTTTCCTTTATGAAATTATTTGTTCTGAATGGATATGCAAATCTGTTTGCGTATAGTTGAATAAAATAAAATTGACTTTTTTATGTATATTTAGTATGCATTTCTGCCCATAAAATATTTTTCTTTTACTAATACCAACAGAGTTTACCTTCGGAAAAACTATAACCCACGCAGATTACAAAGTGATTAGTTGGATTTAAAACACTCTAGCACAAACAAAAACGTTATCTGTACAGGGGAATTGCAAAAATAAATAAATAAAATAAACAGGGTTATACTAAAAATCTTGATTAAAGCATGTTTCAAATATGGTTACAAGCTTCAAAATCTACTCCGGCGAGGTAGAGAAATACATGATGCTTCTGCTCCACTGCATTTTAATCATTTAATCAAAAACCTGTAGTTAACATTAATCAGCAGGTAACTTCATTTCATTCATTTAGTCCATACGTCAACGAAAAAAGACAGACGATTAATCTGCTTTTATCGTTTATTAATAAAAAAAATTCATATGAAATATTCAATTTTGAAAAACCTATAAACTGCGTCGCATTCTCTTAACAAATTTCTCATAACAAATATTGCACACACAACTCTTCAACATGTGAGGTCCTGAAAAGTATTCCTTCATTGATACTAGCACATTTGGTAAAATGGGTTCAATCTGAAAATGTAATAATACATGTACATGGTATATGCGTGCATTATAACATTTTCAGATGCACCATAGCATATATTTTGGATATGCATACATGCATACATGTGATCTTAAATATTTCTTATATTTGCATTTACACATGTTTGTATATGTATCAGTGGCGGATTTAGAGGGGGGTCAGGGGGGCTGGTCCCCCTTCAGTTCCTGTAAAAATATATCACACCAATATATCACACCATATTAAAATATACAAAGCAAACAATCTATCTTAATGTTAAAAATGCATGTATATCAGTAAGAAAAAAAGGAATAGGAAGATAAAAGTCACATGAGATTAATACGGCATTCCACGAGGCATGCTGAATTCCAACTGATACTTTCAACATTTGAATATCTATTTTTTATGAAAGGGATATGTAAACTTTATGAAATTTGGTTAACTGATGCAGAGAAGTATAAATATAATTTTCATGGAAGCAAAATAAGTGTACACGTCAGAAAAATCCATGATTAACATATTTATTTATATTTGCTAGGCAATTTCCATTGATTCCTATGTAAAATTAATTTAAATAATCGATGTTCAAGCAGCCCTGGCTCAAAAAAAAGCTATGGTACATATTTTTTGCAGATTTCTTTCACTTCTACCAAGATGTATAACATATCCACATAAAATTAAAATCGCAAACGCAGAATTTTTTATTTTTGCATTTTTTAGCCAAATTAAGGCCATCTTGGCAAAATCCCCATATAACGCAATGTAATAAACATGGCGTTTTTCGGGATACCTCCTCTCGAAAACGAACTGGAGTGCCCCAAAATTTTTAAAATATTTTTTACTCATACGGTGAGAAAATTTTGTCTAACAATTTTCATCAAAATATGAAATAGGGCAGAAATATGAAATCTGAAATGTGAGAGGGCCTCCTTAACATGCTACCAATATCAAACAATGCTTTTTATACCTTGTTTTGCTACAGTATATGTTTCTGGGTTTGACAAAAATTATGAACAGACGCAGAACTTGGGTTTTAAATGTTAAAAATATAAACACTTTATATTATTTAATATTTGAGTTGAAACACTTTATTTCGTGTAACGAATTAGGATTACGAATCATTTCATTATAGCAATTCCCATTCTTTTTTTCTTTTATATTACCGCTCCTTATCGAGTTTTTCCTCAACCACGTTTTCATCCACGGAAGTATTGCCTGGGGATACGCATGCTTCAAGATACCCTGAGAGCGATCACTTTCACGAATGTTCACGACCGTGTTTGAACACATTTGTTTAAATATCGATATTAAACGTCATTTTAAAATACCAATAACATTACCCCATGAAATAAAGGAGAAATGTTGAAAAAAATAAAACCCACCAAGACTCTGGCAGGTTGAGTTACCTGTTATTACCTGGCTTGGGAAGTGCGTAATTAACAAGTTTTATTGTGAATGAGCTCTTGGTCAGCTACCCTGCATCTACTTGTCAACTGAGGACTTGAGGCGACCATAATCTTGAATGATGTAGTTATAACCCATCTATTGTCACCGAAGTTACACCCCCGTCACACTAGAGGTGGAATGAGCAAAAATGCCGTCGGAAAGACAATTCTTTGTGCGTCCCTGGATATTAGAAAGCATTCTAAAAATTCCGAGTTCATTCCAAATATTTTACCCATTCTTGTGGCCGATTCGAATGTTTGCTCATGTTAAAAAGTGCATTCCAAGTGGAAAAATTATCGAATGGCGTTTGAATAGTATTCTAACTGCACTATGACTGCATTCTACCTGTAAATATTCTCACGTCATTCTGACAACATTCGAAACATTCTGATCACATTCGAGGGAGAACCGAAATGGCAAGACACTTCAAAACCTGCTAGAATGAACCAGAATGCAACTCGAATGCATCTCGATCCTATTTTAGCCAGCAATCGAACTACACTCGTACGACATTCGAAGTGTATTCTAAATATTCTGACTGCATTCTGAGAGCATTATTGATATTACCAGTTTTCCAACTACATTCGAGCCGGAATGTGCACGAATCATTCCAGGCGGATTCAAGCGCATTCTGAGTATTCCAACGGCATTCTTACAAGAATTTAGATCAGTTTGAAATTTCTTCCCGAATAAAGTACGAATTTTTAAATTTAGTCATTCCGGCTTGTTCTGCTCGATTCCTGCTGATTCCGAATAAATGTGACGGGGGCATTAGTAAGAAAGTCACGAAAACCGTCACAGACAAAGAAAGAACATTGTCAGCGAATGCCAGATCCTTTTCTGCTTTTTTGGTGCAGCCCACGGCAACAAACATAGGCATAACGAAAATTGCCCAACTCCGTTCAACACAACTTTCTTAAACTTCTCTGTATTTAGCATGCAGATCAGCTAATTTTCATAGACCCTTTTCGTCTATGTCGTCACAGTACCACGTGATTCAGATCTGTTGCTTCATTTTTGCATATTGAGGTGAGATTTACTAAAACGCTTTTTTCTACTAATACACTTTTTTAAGGGTGGGGGTCGATTATCTCTAATGTATAGATTGGGTGCTGAATCTACAAAATTCGAGAAATAGATTTTTATGTGGCTCAAGTCCTTTAAGTACAGGTTCCCCCACCCCCTAAATATATCAACTCATGGCGCGTATTAAATTTAGAAAGCATTCCATTTTTAATATGCCTCAGTGCTACCTACATGTATGTTGAGCAGTGCATTAGTATTTATTTTTATGATTTACTTCAAAGATACATCTGTGGAGTAGTGAGCAAGCATTCATTCTTTTCTGATATTCCTCAAAACTACCTCTGTGGTGTAGTGCTGAAGTATTCCATTTTTATATACCTCAAAACTACATCTGTTGAGCAGTGTGCCAGCATTCCTTTTATTCCATTTTAAATTGGTTATTCAAATGCGCACCAATGCAGTGCAGCAGAAGCATCGTGTTTTTCCCTACCTCACCGGAGTAGATTTTGAAGCTTATAAGCATAATTGAAACATGCTTCAACCAAGCTGGTTATCTACCGCATTGATGCTTCTTTCTGGAAAATCATGTATTTTATTTATTTTTGGCGTAGACGTGCAGCATGCCTTACTGCATCTTTTCTACAAACATGCACTACACCACTGCGCCACTAATGCTACAAAACAACCTCTGCGAGAATACCTTATTGGTCAAAATAAAGTGTATATTTATTCCATGTACCATTTGAAGATTACACGCTAAATCTTTTGCTCCAGGGTGTGTCACATTTTATACTATCTTCCAGTTAAAGAATTTTACAGAAATAAAATATTATTGCTTTGACATGCACAAGTTATTAAGTATGCCGTAAAAGAAAACAATTATTTTTATTATTATTGTTGTTGTTATTTATTATTGCTACTAAAAAGCCGTTACACACCCTCCCCTTTAGATTATTTACAAATAAGTCTATTTGACACAAATAGTTGTGGTGCATGCTTTTATTAGGATTGTTATCAAAAATCGAAACAATGAGGTTGGCAATACGACTGCTGTTTATATATTTTTTCTTCAATTTAAGCATGCATGTGTATTCCAAAAAGTTTAGAGACATGCCATCCAGTTGACTTCGACTCGGTACATATGAGTGTTGCTCCAGGTCTTGATATTCACATTGAAGCCGTGGGGGCTGAGGCCGGAAGCGTATGTAGTCGCCCTAGTATTTTGACCATTCCTGAAAGTGATAACAATATAAATGGCAAAGAAGACAATTGTATACTACATGTATTTGCAGCCAAAGCACAATGCCATCTTTGCTCAACAGAAAGAAAGAAAAAAACGTATCTCACCATAAGCTTTGGCTTATCTTTTTTATTTATTTATTTAATTTTTATTTTATTTATTTATTATTTTTTTTTCTTTTTTGTCTAACTACATACCATGTGTTCTGACTTCGTAAAAAAGTAATGCTTTGCATAGCCGACGCTCTAAACCCTTGTAGCTAAAGAAACTGTTCAGCTAACTTGTTGGGATGCGTGCTTTAGTCACGCTGTAATAATTGACCAAGTAAACAATTTGGAGACTAACTCTTGTCGAAAACTCTAAGATGGCATACAGAACAACGGTACTTGAGTATCATAAATGAAAATGGCACGTTTCAATCATTTAGCCATAATTGGTCAAAAATTTGCCTGTTACCATAACTGCAAGTAATTTGAGAGGGAAAATGCTAGTTAGGGCAGTTTAAGGTCATGGTCTATCACTGGACAAAATAAGAAGAAAATTTATTGTATTTTCGAGCTTGGGAACATCCCTTTTTTGTTCTTACATAAAATGTTCTTTTATAAGTCACTTTAAAATTTGAAATTATATTGCTTTAATATTTAAGCTCCGACCTTATATTTTATCATTTTACCGATAAAGTATAAAGTGTTTAGAATATGAAGTAACATTTTTGACATTTGAAAAATATGGCTATCTCTCTACTTCCAAACAAAATGACGTCGCCCCAGTTAAAAATCGCAGAAAAGAAATGCCTTTTTATCCCTAGAAGCAAGTTTTTATGCGCAGTATATCAAAATATTATAAACAAAATTAAATATTGGTGGTATCGTCACAGTTAAAGTAGTCAGTGCTGTGTCTTACCAAATATCAAGGTGCGATATTGCCACCATAACGGTTGGAGTCTTTCTGAACGGTGGATTGAAACGTACATGCTTCACTTGACTCTGACACCTTATGCTACTGTCTTTCTTACAGTAATCGCTGGACACTACTCCCGATACACCTGTAACATGAAAACACACATATTTATGTACCTTCCATATTTTAAACGTTCTGGGTCTGCACGAACAGATTTCTATAACAGTTGTTATATCAGAATGAAATTATGTCCTGACTAAGAAGTTTGTTTTATCATTCTAATGCTATGCTTGACCAATGGAAAATGGCTCTTGTCCGTGTCTGCTCCCTTCAAATGCGCCCTAAATTTTCTTATGCCACCTATCTAGTAAAGGTTTATATTTTAACGAAGTAATTTTCTTGTCTCACCCTTTCAGTTTGGGCTTTTTTTCAGTCTAGTATAAAACAGTTCCCATTCCGGTTATCAGCGAAAAAGCTAAATATTGACAATATCGTTTTCAAAACTTCCGACACAAACACCATTCTCTTATTTTAAAAATTTTATGTTTGAAGACACGCGTGCGAAATGTGATCTATTTTAAGTAATTCTGAGGGTGAAAATGCAGTTTGAAAATTCAAATGTTGTTTTGCGTATTTGATCGCTGTATATGCCGTGGAAAATTTCGTTGAAATTCACGGAAGGTTAAAACTGTAACTTGAATTCTACGGATTACAAAACGTAACATCAGCCTTCATTACAGTAAGTAAAATAGCATTCAGAAAGTTTCAAAAACGCAGAATATTACTTTGAACATAAAATGCCCGTCATTCCTTCAAATTTGACTCTTAACTAGCCATTGAGTGCATATTATAATAATGAAGGTAAATTCAACTGCGAGTACTATACATATATATATATATATTGTATTCTATTCGTCCTTGCCATAGTCTCACCCACAGTCTGGTTGTGCCTGCGGGTGAATGTTACTGTTACATGTACTAAGTACATGATTGGTTTTTACCACAGCATTATCTAACAAAAACGGGTGGGAGTAAAAAACAGTTCAAAACGACTCCGACGTCTTACATATATTTAAAATGTACTTACACGTGGCATCGATTGAATCTGGAAGTAGCAGAACAGCCAAAAAGCAACCAAGGAGAACTCTGGAGGTCATCTTCTTGTTCTAAGTCTGAACAGGCGAGTGACTGAACGAACTGAGGCGCCCAGGTCCTTTTATAGTTCCACAGTCTGTTGTTCACACAAGTCCTGGCAGTTTATCAAGTTTCATGTAGTTTCAGTCCTGCGGGGAGGCCCAATCAGGTTCCAACGGTTTTTGATTGACATTTGTCTAAACTAAGGTGTACAGCCATATTTTGCAATGTCCTGGCAGATTAACAAGTTCACATATAACGGACAGGTTCAGACAGGCGAGGAGACAAAAATCAAGTTCCATTGAAAAACATGCAGTTTTAATTTACATATCTCTATCTTCCTTGACTTATCAAAAGTCATACGTTGTATCAATATAACACCCCATTTCCATAGATTAGATCGACCTACTTTAGATCGACCTAACTCCCTGGGGGTTCACGCTAAATAGCTGTCAACCGGGCGGACACGAAAGTTAATTACCCCCTTACAGCTTGTAGTAGGCGGGACGGACATTTAAGTCGGATTATCTGAAAGTAATCTAGTGAGACTCCCCGCGGGGATAGATCGATCTAAAATCTATGGGAATATAGAGCCTATGTCTCAGAATAGCAAGTATATTCTCCCATGAAAAGCTTGCATACATGTATAAACACTATTTTTACAAAATCAATCTCACTACACTGATAGATACAGGTTCATGAGAAGGGGAGAATCGGAAATTTGAATTCAGTAGGAACAATGTCCAGTACTTTTCCGTGTCTTAGATCGCTCTTGCTTCTCCTTTTAAGAAAAGAAGGGAACATTTTCATTCTAGGAACAACTGCTCAGGTTAGTGGATCATTTGGGGATCAAATGTGGAGGCAGGTGACACTGAGATACAGTTGCTACAACTGTCATTTTGATATGAAAAAGTGTCTCCTCCTACCGGTGTCCTCCTAGTCATTAACATCTTGATAGCATCTTGATGAATTTTCTGTGTAGATAAGGTTATTTAAAGTTTCGTTTCTTGCATGGATCGACTAAATTTGACGTTATGATCCAAGTGTTTGCACTGTAATGATAAACTTTTTGATTTACTGAAAGTTCAAGCTCGTCGTCTTGCTTCCCAGTGCTTGTCTCTAGCGTGGGGACCGTGGCTATTTGATACCTCAATCATCAAGTATTAGCATTACAATAAAGTAAAAATTCAAAGAATAAAAAAAAGATGGTGGGATATGCAAGGAGGGAAATGGCCATTGCTTAATAAAGTGGCATATTACCTCCCTGGTCATTTTTCTTTTCCTTTCAGTAGTACATGTACCTGTCCCCGTTATCACTTTTTGTAGTAGATAAACATTGCACCAAAAGCAAGTTAATTTTTACTCGTACATACATTAAAATAAAAATGATCACTATTCATAGATTCTCACAGTGGGATCCAGAGGAGATGTAGGTGCTGCCAACACCTAAGGGACAATTTTCTGATTGCTCGCCATTTTATTTCAAACGACCCCTCCCACTTTCTACTTGTATACTCTTAACATTCTGAACGTTTTGAACGCACAATTTAAGAATATATCATGATTCTTTTACTTCGCCTCATAAACAACCTCATATTGAGTTTCATCTCTCATAATGCACCCGTAAAGACAGTTTTATCGTGGTCTCGTTTTACTTGTATTTCTGTTTACACAAACAGAGACTAACAGATAAATGTGCACATTTTTAAACGAAACGTAAACATTGTCAGTGGTAAACGTTTGACACTAAGATACAGTTGCTAGACCTGTCATTTTGATATGAAAAAGCGTCTCCCGCTCTTTCATCTTGATAGCAAGAACTAAACACAAATCACGATTCTTTGAATTGTCTGTGTAGATAAGGTTATATAAAGTTTCATTTCTTGCAGGGATCGACAAAATCATCTTTTTTACTTCGACATTATTATCCAAGTGTTTACGCTGTAATGATAAACTCATTGATTTACTGAAAGTTAAAGCTCGTAGTCTTGATTCCCAGTGCTTGTCTCCAACGTGGGCACCGTTGTTATTTGATACTCGATCATCAGGTATTAGCATTGGAATAAAATCAAAATTCAAAGAATAAAACAGACGTTGGGATATGCTGGAGGGCTGGGAAATGACCAATGCTGTGGCATATTACCTCCCTGGTCATTTTTCTTTTGCATTGAGTAGTTCACGTACCTGTCGCTTATATAACTTTTTGAAGTTGATGTATATTGTACGAAAAGCAAGTAATTTTATTCGTACATATATTAAAATAAAAATAGATCACTATTCATAGATTATGACAGTGGGATCCAGAGGAGATGCAGATACTGCAAACACCCAAGGGACAATTGCTTAACCCGCCATTTTGATTTCAAAACGCCCCCCCCCCCCCCCAGCCCACATTCTACTTGCATGCTCTTAACATTCTACACGTTTTGAACGCAAAATTCAAGAATATATCATGATTCTTTTACTACGCCTCATAAACAACCTCATATTGAGTTTCATCTCTCATAATGCCCCGGTAGAGACAGGTTTATCGTGATCTCTTTTTACTTGTATTTCTGTTTACACACACAGAATAACAAATAAATGTGCACATTTTAATTGATGCCACAAAACATCAACATTGTCAGTAATGAACCTTTTCGAGTTTTTTTTCTTTATTTCTTTATTTTTTTTTAATGCCTTTATTGCCCCCTCTCCAACAAAAACTTTTCAGTTACATTGCATATTACTTGATGTCTGGATTAAGCATGGTGGACATGCATTGATAAACGACTACTCCAAAAAGGTGAACAATATTTCTAGTATACACTGACAGATACAGGTTCATAAGAAGGCGAGCAATCAGAATTTTGAATTCAGTAGGAACAATGTCCAGTGTTTTTCCGTGTCTTACATCGCCCTTGTTTCTCCCTTTAAGGAAAGGAGGGAACTCTTACATTCTAGAAACAACTGCTCAGGTTAGTGCATCATTTGGGGATCAAAATGTGGAGGCAGGTGACACCAAGGTACAGTTGCTACACCTGTCATTTTGATATGAAAAAAGTGTCTCCCCCTCTCCCCTCCTACCTGTGCCTTCCTAGTCCTTAACATCTTGATAGCAAGAACTTAACAAAAATCACGGTTTTTTAATTGCCTGTGTAGATAAGGTTGTATAAAGTTTCATTTCTTGCAGGGATCGACAAAATCATCTTTTTTTTACTTCGACATTATTATCCAAGTGTTTACGCTGTAATGATAAACTTTTTGATATACTGAAGTGAAAAATAAATGTGTACATTTTAATTGATGCCATAAAACAAACATTGTCAGTAATACTTTTTGAGTTTTTTTATTATTGTTGGGCCTTTATTGCCCCCTCTCCAACAAAAACTTATCAGTTACTTTTCATATTGCTTGAGGTCTGGATTAAGCATGATGGACATGCATGACTAAAGAGACTACTCCAAAAACGTGAATAATGTTTCTAGTATACACTGATAGATACAGGTTCATAAGAAGGGGAGCAATCATAAATTTGAATTCATTAGGAACAATGCCCAGTATTTTTCTGTGCCTCAGATCGCTCTTGCTTCTCCTTTTAACGAAAGCAGGGAACATTTACATTCTACAGACAAGTACATAACTGTTCAGGTTAGTGCATCATTTGGGGATCAAATCTGGAGGCAGGTGACACTAAGATACAGTTTCTACACCTGTTATTTTGATGTGAAAAAGTGTCTCCCCCTCTTTGTATCAACCTGTGTCCTCCTAGTCCTTAATATCTTGATAGCAAGCTGCGGAACTCAACACAAATCACGATTCTTTGAATCGTCTTTGAAGATGAGGATATGTAAAATTTCATTTCTTACATAAATCGACAAATTATTTTTTTTTTACTTCGACGTTATGATCCAAGTGTTTGCACTGTAATGATAGACTTTTTGATTTCCTGAAAGTTTAAGCTCGTCGTCTTGATTCCCAGTGCTTGTCTCCAGCGTGGGCACAGTTGCTATTTGACACTCGATTATCAAGTGTTAGCATTACAATGAAGTCACAATTCAAAGAATTAAACAGACATTATGAAGTCTCGATAATGAACTAATTCAGGTTTCTTTTGGCCCTGTCCGTTTCTTTGAAAGTCCCTAAAATCTACCTTTATCGATTTATTGAAGCTTTATCTGTGTTGTATGTAAGGGAGCGGTAATGCCAGTTTTGCTGTGAACTTGAAATACATGTTCTCACTTTTTCAACGTGGTAACTGCCAGCTTGAACACGATGTTTTTGGTTCCCATTCTTTGCTTCTAAACATCATATTAAGTTGTAGCTTTCATAAAACCTGGTATAGACAGTTTATCCTGATCTCGTTTTTACTTATATTTCTGTTTACGCAGCCAAGGAATTACTTCTATCACCCTCTCTCCTACACAAAAACTTGTCAGTTACGTTTGCTTGAGGCTTGGATTAACCGTGATGGAGATACAGGGATAAAACGACTACTCCAAATAGGTTAATAATACATCCAGTTTACACAGGTAGATACAAGTTAATTAAGGGGTGGGGGTCAATCAGAAATGTGGATTCAACAGGAAATTTCAAATATTTTTTGTTCCTCCATCGTTCTTTTTTCTGCAGCTTAGAGGGCATTCCCATAGATTTAGATCGATCCATCTAGATCGACCTAACTCCCTGGGGTTCACGCTAAATTGCTGTCAGGCGAGCGCGCACGGTAGTTAATTACCCCCTTACAGCTTTTGGAAGGCGGGACAGACATTTAAGCCGGCTAAACTTACAGTAATCTAGTGAGACTCCCCACAGGGATAGATCGACCTAAATTCTGTGGGAATGGGATCTTAGATGCCTGGCACGCCTACTGAAGCTGTTAAATGATAGTTAATTATCCCCTTACGGCTTCAGTAGTCGTACAGGACATCAGAGCCCCTTAAGCTAAATGCAAATAACGAGAAACCCCCTCGGAGATGAGTCGATCCCGCTAGATCGATCTAGGTATAGGAACGGGGTCTTGGACTGAGATACGGTAAATTTCTACGTACTATATACATGCAGATACCTGCACAATCCAGGCAGAGGTAAAAAGAAAGGAAACAGACAGATAATCATAATATTCTTCTTTTGTTCCTATTACAACAACTCACCATTCTGTGCATCCCCGTACAAGCAGCATTATATTACGCTGCAGTTTTGGTTTAATCTAACTCCTCATATTTTAACCACCCTGTATTACCTTTGTTGGTAGTAATTAGTTCTAGTAGCAGCAATAGTCATACTTCTTTTTGGTCAATCGTGCAAAATATGTAATTTACCTTCCCTCGTGGCGCTATTTAAAAATGTCAAACCCATGAAGAAAACAATAGTAGTAACAAAATCCATTTTAATCTTATTTCATTAGGCTGATTTACGATTCTCTAACTAGTTGTTTTGAGTTTTCAATTTTCATTGTCTTTATACTCCCACGATATCACTGAGCTCCAAACGGATCCAGTAACTGAAACATCTTTACACTACCACAATGCTCCTGGCAGATATGTTAATGAAAGCAGCTCAACCATGTTAATTCGAACGATGCCGCGCCTCTCTTTTACCCTGAATCTCAGGGTGTTTGAAAACCCAAATACGACTGTATTATTTCCTTATTCTTTTATTGATACTAGCACATTAGGTAGAATGAGTTCGATCTAACAATATAATAATACGTGGTAGGCTACATTAATGTGTACACAATAACATATTCAAATGCACAATATAGTAGGCCTATATATCATGGACATACTTACATGTATTTATGTGATTATCTGAGATATTTCTTATATTTGTATGTGCACTTATTATCAGCCTTCCTTACGCTATACCTCTACATAAGCAGGTTGACTGTGAAGTTACTATTCCCGTACCCCACTCAAACACTGTGCAAAATTACTCTGCTTTTCAACATTTTGAAACAATCTATCAGCGCACCCTGTGTCCAAAGAGTACTACTACGGTCTGCAATGCGGCTGGTAAGTTCAAGTAGGAAAAATAAATAAAAGTAATATATATTTTGATGCCCTAATTGTAGACATCGCTTATGTGTACATGTAAAGACCCTGACAAGTAAAAAAATGAAAGATGTAGCGAACAGTTTAGTAGCTCATTTTAAGAAGGCAGTTCTACTTTGATAGCATATATATTATATTTATTATTCGCCTTACAATCGTCAACGTAAGTAATGAGCCAAAGTCGGATTTAAGAATTCAAACCACGTAGCGTTGGTTCAACTGAAGCATTGATAAACATCTGTCACAATTATTGTTAACGAAAACGAAAGAAAAAAAACGTTCATTTCCTCCAATACCACAAACACTCAATTATGACACTAGTTATAAATCTGTGGCCAAGGTTTCACTGAGAGGTAAAGATTATGTTAGGAATAGAGAGGTTTATATTATTTTCCTTAGTATAGCAGAGTATGTTTGCAGGTAAGATATTTATAGAGAAGCTACTACTGTAGTAAAGCGTGCGCTCTCTCTTTAACACGGTTACATTTTCTGTACAAATTCCTCCTCCATTCTGGATTTTTTAACTAAATCTCACGAATATGCCAGTGCATGTGTCCTAAAAATTATGCACGTTGCCAAAATAGGTACCTGTTCATCACATATGTACACATGTTCTTATATTCTTCAAAGTATACACTTGTAATTGCAAAGTAAGATAAAACTTTGATAAAATTATTTTCAAAAGGGACACCAAAATCTCTAGTTGAAGTTCAAAGCACAAACTGAAGAGACGTGATGTCATTTCATTTTTTCCCCACTGTCTTCGTCCTATCAGTGTGGAGGCTGGATCCCAAGCTGCCCACTTACTCGCGTTTCTTGATATAAAGCTCGTAGTCGGGAGGGGTCGTGGTGATTCCCGCGCGTTCGGGGAAAGGTCGTGGCAGTTTGGCGCCAATGGGCGCGGAAAACTCGTACTGCTGGATCATCGAGGTCAGGAAGAGAAAAAATTCAATCCTGGCCAACTGCTCACCAAGGCAGGCACGGGGACCTACAATAAATTGTAGAAAAGTACAATATCGCATAATATATATCGCA